TATGGGGGGGGGGGGGGAAGCCATTGTATTCCATAAGCTGTACTTTGGAAATTTATATTCATTAAATAAAAGTTAAAAAAAATTTATTTATTTATTTGAAAGTCAGAGTTATACAGAGAGAGGAGAGACAGAGACAGAGACAGAGAGAGAGAGAGAGAGAGGTCTTCCATCCCCTGGTTCACTCCCCAGTTGGCCACAATGGCCAGAGCTGCACTGATCTGAAGTCAGGAGCCAGGAGCTTCTTCCAAGTCTCCCACGTTGGTGCAGGGGCCCAAGGACTTGGGCCATTGTCCACTGCTTTCCCAGGCCATAGCAGAGAGCTGGATCGGAGGAGGAGCAGTCGAGTCTCCAACTGGTGCCCATATGGGATGTGGTGCTTCAGGCCAGGGCGTTAACCCTGGACATTTCAAAACAGGATTTGCTCAGGGGCTTTGGATAGCAGCCTCCCAAGGTGCAGAGCAAGGAGACGTTCTGCAAAGGCTGCAACTCCCTCCTCCGTTCCCAGAGAGCAGAGTGGCAAGCATATGTGTTCAACCCACAGTTACCGACCACCCGTTCCAAGTTCACATTCTGGCTGCCTTTTCTCTGACCTCAACACTCAGTGCACATGCGCTAACTATCAGGCAGTGTCCTCACTACTTTAGAATAACTCAGAATGTTCAAACAATCCAATGTGTGTACTTTAATCAACTCCTTTTTGTAGGTCAGCAAATTAAGGTAAGCAGGGGACTGGCATTTCGGCAGAGCAGGTTAAGATGCTGGCATCCCTTGTAAGAGCGCTGGTCCAATCCTGGATGCTCTGCTTCTGATCCAGCTCCTTACTAATGCACCTGACAAAGCAGCAGAGGAAGGCCCAAGGGCTTCAGTTCCTGCCCCCATATGAGAGACCCAGAGGGAGTTCCCAGCTCCTCGCTTCTGCCTGGCCCAGCCCTGGCTACTGCAGGCATTTGGGGAGTAACCAGTCCATGGAAGGTTCTTTGTCTCTCCCTTTCTCTCTCTGCCACTCTTTCAAATAATAAAGAAAATTGTTACACAAAGAAAACTAAGGTAAGCAATGTACAGTTTTTTGCCCAACACCACCCAAGAAGTCAGTGGCAGGAGCAGGGAGGCAATCCAGGCAGTCAGCATGGAGGCGGGGCCATCCTTCCTGTCACTTCTCATCACATCCGCCAGCAGCCACTGCTCAGCCAGCAGACCCCAAACTGCTGCATCCACAGCACAGGTGACAGGCTGACCCCAAAGAGGAGTGGCGTGACACAGGATAAAGAGGCAGACGCAGATGAAAGACTCCGATGTGCGGAAACCAGAGTCTCTGTCAAAGACCAAAGGCAACAGCAGAGGCCCCGATGCCCGGTTCGTCCCAGTTTTATTATCACCAGTGATGTAATCCATTCATCATAAACAATGTGCAGCTTCACAAAAATGGGGTCTTGTATCAAGGAACTTTAAATACAGAAAAACAAGCAATAATAAGTTTCAGTGATTATAGGAAAGTATAGGAAATCACAGGTTACTCACAACAACTTAAAAACTAGTAACTACAGGGCCGGCGCCGCAGCTCACTAGGCTAATCCTCCACCTTGCGGCGCTGGCACACTGGGTTCTAGTCCCGGTCGGGACACCGGATTCTGTCCCGGCTGCCCCTCTTCCAGGCCAGCTCTCTGCTGTGGCCAGGG